CCCACTCACGTTCCCCATCGAATTTCTAGTCCAATTTTCAAACAAAATAATATATCGAATCGATCTCAACCCATTCCTTTAACGGGCAATGTATTTGATGGGCATTTTATCCATTCTTTAAAATACCATCAATAGCTGCAAAGAAATTCTTAACTCTTTATTTCCTAGCAATAAGCACTTAAAAACATTAATATAGAATTGTCAATTGATAAAAATTGAGGCAGCGCTTCAAATGGTAAAAACCCCGCTTCCTAGCCGATTCTATGGCTCCCAAGAACAAAAGACAAAGCTCAATGCTATTATATTATGGGAAACGAATAAATTATGGGAAATATTCGATAATCTTATTGATTTATGTATCACATCAATTACAGGGCAAGATATTCATCTTTTCCAGTAAACGTATGTGCTTATATACAAAACAACAAGCGAACAAGTAAACAGAAATAAATACACCGGCTCTACACCCACAAACTTTGTTAGTATAAACGTTCTATGTCTGGCGAGTTATTTTGTCCTTAAATCACTAGCGCGCAATCGATAGACATCTTTTTCATTAATTCTTCACTCCTGCTTTATTTCCATTCCGTAACCTTTTTTTATCAGCCAACGACGCGAACAGGCGGGCAAGCATTGCGAGTTCCGTGAACTCTCAGCAACCAGGCCCACGTTCTGATTTTCATGCTTAAAAACCTTCAACACGTTTCTGCTTTGCCACTTATCGATCCATTCAAAATGTAGCAACGCGACCGCGCGCGCCTTTACCAGCCGTCTCACAAGCGCCCGTCAAGAGAACATGAGCTGAGCAATGTGTAATTTTACGACCCGATTTTTCTATTGCGGTAATGGAGGATATTATTGCTTTCTGGTGCTCCTCCAAAGCAGTTGTAATTAGAACGATGATGGAAAGACGAGTGGGATTGAAGCAAAGGCGATAAGCGGTGTAGATCGATCGAGCTGTGAAGCAGCTGAGAAACATTCCATAGCTCGATCCACGCTTTCCCGACGCATCAAACAACAGCCCAACTCTTGCCACCATTGACAGTTCAATGGATCCACACGTACCAGTTCCCTGAAACAAGCCAAGGATCACTCCAGCAAAGTAAAGAGCAACATGCTTTCATACAACTATCTTTAAATAGTGGCTTTTGGGCGCTGCTATGACTTATATATTATAAGCACCTGCATGTTCAATCAAAAAAGAAATATTGAAAAAATGATCCCTTCATTGTGAATTTACATGTGTGCGCACTGCCTTATCTTTTCTTCAAAACTAAAACCGATCGTACTACATCCTTTCATCGCCTCAAGTCACGTACCTCTACATTTGCTCACTCATAGCAATATTTACCTCGCATGACAATTGTCAAGTGTGAACAAATTGGTGTATGTATGGACACAGCAGCACGCCGACAATAAGACGCCTGAAAAACTCATCAACCTGGAGTATTCAATGGTTTAATTAATGCTGTAAGTTGCCGTATTCCAACCGGGCGGGTACACATTTCTGGGCGCTATCACAAGATAGGAGGGCATACCCGGGGACCAAGCATAGGCAAGGACAGGAACTCGATAGAAGTGGAAATTTCTCGCGCCTCCTCGAGTCTATGCTCCCTCGCCTGTAAAGTGGCCCTTTTTCAAAAAGAAGTTTTCACGCAGTTCGAAAATGGCCCCAAAAAAACTCCACCATGATGACTCGTAACTTCGATAGGTCATTTTTGTCTCGCACAACAATTAGGAGGAGTGGAAGAGATAATCCGACGGGTTGGCGGCAAGCTGCCATTCGATGTTATCTAGTCCCCAAAAACAGTTTAAGAATAGCGCACGGTTACAGACTCACATTTGATTCTGCTCGGAACTTTGCTGCTGTTGCCTCATCTGGCGCCTTCTCAGCTTTTGCTGCGAATAACCGACCCTATAAATTATCAACGCTGTTCATAAAAATGGCCATTATAAAAACTAAGTACAAGAAGTGGGATGAAATACTACTCTTTGAACCGTATGACTTACCTTGAGGTACAAAGCCTGATGTGCATGTGGAAACAGAATGGCAGCCTGCTCTACACACGGCGCAACATCATTGAGACGACCTTCCGCCAAGAACAACTCCGCTAACGCCATCCACATGTTAGCCTTAAAGACAGAGGTCACGAATTAGAATTGTGTGTATTTTGTTCGAGAATTAGACAAATAACTGCGGAAAAAACGCTACGGCAAAAAAACGCGAAGAGCAGATTGCACATGAGCAGGAGCACAACGCCACGTATGTTTGTTATTCAATAAAGAATGTCCAGCGTGCATTGATCAACTGGCACAGTATCCTATCTCTACGAATTTGAGGTCTGCTACCTCTACCAAGGATAGGAGTCCCCTGAGGATCTCCCCGCGAGCCGTGCCTTCGAACAGTCACTAGCGAAGGTATCACAAAGGCAATAAATGCCAACCAAGTTACGCAGTCTAGAGTGCAAAGACGCCCAGTACTGTGCAACCGTGAATTTAGGTTCGGTTTGTAGCCTGTGGAGTCTCACACATGCCACACATACAACATATCTCTTTCATTATATCTTAAGTGCTCCATCCTTCCATCTCACTGCACCTTTGTTGACGAAATCTTCAACCACAAAGACAGACCTGGGCTCGAAAACGCGTCCATAATGCTGACGATGCACTCCCAGCAACTCCACCGCCTTCACTGGAGGCTGATTGGCCTCCAACTTCAGAGGCTGGTACACCACTGTCTGCGGCTTGAAAAATAATGAATTAAATTTAGTACCGGTCAAATTGGTTAAAGCCTTACTAGTGTCATACACCCTACCTGATACAGCCATATCAAGCCCTGACTGACTGCTGCCTACATTCGGGATTCAAAATGGAGTACTGATGCCGATACCAAGCGGAGTCGCAAACAGTGGCGTCGAAGACGATAACTCCCGCCCGATTGATGGAGTGCCTATTGAAAGAAGAGAATGTAAATAAGAACAAAGCGTAGAAGCAAAAAATAAACGCTGTCCATTTCATGACCCCAGAAAAGGGCGAACAGATACATTGACATTTCCCTAGAACTTCGACAGGGTATCTGACGATGTATATGTGGCTCTAGATGTAGCCCATACAAAAGTTTGTTCCCAAAAGTGCAACTACAAATTTGGGGGAAGTGGCAGTGGCAAGTGGCACGCTTACCACGCGAGCGGTCCGGGGATCAAATCCTGGGTCGTGAGTCGCCCGGGCCAACCAAGCCTTCCATCCCTCCGGGGTCGGTTAATTGGTACCAGACTTGTCTGGGAGGATAAAAACACTGACTTGAACATCGGCTGGCCCCCGCAAGTCATTGTATAGGCCACATCGCATTCAAATGCCACTGCGAATGTACAAATGGAAGTAGAATGCGTGCCGCATCCCAAAAGGGATTGATCAACGGCAAATGCTTTATCCTTTAAGTACAAATTTCTATCAGGAGATTCTGCGATCAGTGCGAATCCACTGGAGGGGGCATCTTAGGGAGTTGGAGCAACACCCCTTAGATCAAAATTATTGGATCCAGTTGATAATGGAGTGTGGATCCAATGTTTAACTTGAAAATCAAACAAGCGAGAAAACATGTCCATGAAATCCTCTACTTCTTTATAAAGGAGGGGGTGGACTCAGACTATTTCTACGAAAGTGACTGTCACAGCCAATCCTGCTCAAAAACTGCGGCCCGCGCATGACTGAATTTAGCGCTTACCCGTATTCACTTGCGTCGATGGAGTGTGCACGAGCAATCTCTACCGCTAAAGCTCAAATACATAAGCCTTACCTCTGGCAAGCCAAAGCCATGTGTCGCGCACTTCGAGCCGCACGACAGTGTCACGTGTGATACTCGGCTGCGGCTACTCTATCCACCCAAAGAATAGATTCTTTGACATGACTTTATCTGGGGTTGTTGCTTTAACTTTTGAGAGTCATGGCGCCGCTTATGGTGCCTTGAGCACAAGCAGTTTTTCATACTGAAAACAAACCTGCTTTCACACTGGGCGCATCTTTCAGCATACTCTGACCATCAGCAACATTAAGAGTGAGCTGCACTCGTTCATCTTCAATGCAGCAGTCTCGTTTTCGCCAAAAATCCAGCAAATAAGAACAAGTACCCAGAGACTCGTCGATTCGACCTGTAACTTAATTACTAAATCACCACTCCCTTTTGGGACCAATTCGAGTCAACTAACCAAATTTAGTTTCAATATGCAATCGGAGAACTAGAAGACCGTAGTGTGTCGGAAAATCTTTCAATGCATTTACCACTAGTTCGAGTGCACCCTAAATATACAGATGTACGCTTGATTAAAATTACCATTTCATTGAAGTAAGAGAGAGATGGAAAGAAAAAGCAACCACCTTAAGGTCAGCTTCAGCGGTGAAAATAAGAGCTAACAGCATTATAGCAGCCGGCTGCTCTGCGTTTAATTCTAGAGACCTAGGCACAACGTTCACGAGCTGCTTCCAAATCTCGGACTGAAAACGACATTTAATTAACAGAAGAAATATGAAAAAGGAGAAGCAATATTTTACATCACCCTTGAATATATGATAAAGAAACGGCACAGTTTCCAGCAAGATCAGGGGAAAATAGCAAATAGCGGAGGTTTCTCCCAGTTGCACAAGTTTTAGCTCACTATGCCATTTCCCACCTGATCCCTCAGCCAGCAGAAAACGAAGAGACACAAGGGTAGAAGTTGAAACGTTGCGATTAAAAACAAAAAGATACTATAGCATGCTACAAAGCGCTAGTAGCTAGCGCCAGGTAGTCGTGAGGATCTGTGTGCACACAGTTCTCGAACATTGCCAACGCTTTACCGAGCAGTCGCCGTCGATTCTCGAAGCATGGCTCCGCTGAGCTTTTCTCCTGTAATCATAAGGGAGAATGTATAAATTTCGGCATTATGAACTTTGTAGAAATAGGTGGTTTCTATAGAGTCCTCACTCATGGTGCATTATATTGCAATTTGACGCCTTACTATGGCTTGAGGTGGAAAGTTATGCATCGACAGGTGAAATCGTCTCATCGTCAGACGCTTCTGCTCCGAATTAAGCCTACTGCGAAGGAATAGAAGAGTAGCGATTGGGCCTAACTGATAATGATAACTAATGGACTTTGTACATTGAACCATGCGTATCTTATGCGAAGTCACATGCGGGGGCGGTTATTTACGATCACACGATCGTGTGGATGGTTTCTTCCCCGACTGTAGTTAGGTCACTGCTACCTTCTCCTCTACGGCTTGGCCGAAGCGGGCAGCACATATGTCTACGTATCTCGGTTACATTGACGACAAAACCCTCTATAACCTCTCATGGTAGCGCTGCCGCGCCGCCGGCCGCCGCCGCCGGCCTCGACCGAATTTAACCGCTGTTCACTTAAATGTCCATTAGCTCACATCTTGTCACGTCACTTTGCACTAAACCCAAAATGAATAAGGATAACGACGATAAGGATAACGACGAATAGGTGATATTTCTATTTCGTTCATAGTAATCTTAGAAGTTTTAGTCCGCTTCTGCCAGCACACATCTGTGGAATCTCATTATTTTTGAAATGAGCGATTAAACAAAGCGAAGAAGCTTTTTAGAGCAACGAGATAACGACGAAAAACTTGACATAACATGCGAAATAAAATTAAATGTAGCATTCCATGGTGCGCTATTGCACACAACAGTTGAGCCCTTCCTTTCAGATAGGACAACGGACCCTCAGAACACAGCGCCACCGCGGCCATGGCATGGTTGATAGCTGAAATGCCCAATTTTATTTCACACCCTTCTTTTACCGATCGAGCACATTGAAAGATAAATGCGTAGCAGGCTTAAACACGTCAACAATGGGCTTTGAGGGTAGGATTCCACGATAAGGTCGAGGTCGAAGGAGGGAAAATGCCAAGTCGAAAGGCAGGTTGGCCACTGGGACACATGGAACATGATGCGTTCGCTTTGAAGTATAACCTAATGCCAAGTCAGCAAATACGCGCTGTCGCCGCGAAACAACCACCTTTCTCGCCTCTCATTTCAGTCGTGACAGCAGAGAAATGCGGTAGCGTTAAAAAGGCGTAGCACAACTGAATGCAGATAGTCGCCATCACATGCGGAAACAATATGGGCAGAGAACAGCCCCCATTCCATGCTCTTTGCCTTTTTCAAGGTTTTCTTTTTAACCTTTAAATCACCCTCTATTGGTTTCCAAGCCACTGCCTTCCATTGCTGAACTACGTTTCAATAGGTATGCTATGCAGCTGCGTGCCGCGTTGAAAGAACCAACCTTCACCTATCACACGATTGTCAGCTATAACCCACAGCGCGTGCGAAACAGATGAAGCAACCATCCTCCCTTTGAAGTAATTACTTCGCCTACTTACTGAGATCAAAGACGAGCCTATTTAACACCTTGGAGCCCACGCAGCCCATATGTGGGCTGCAGTCCTCCGACCGCATAGGACCTTTCAGCTCGCATTTCGTAAACAATTATTAGGTTTTCATTCATTTTCTTTTCCAGTTTATCCGATAAGATTTCTTCTGCATTATACAGTGGGTTCTTCTTGAATTTGCTAGATAAGATCCCTAAAAATTTCACCGAAGTCCCGCGCGGCCGCGGAACGTAAAACACGCGCGGTCTCCAAAGTGTTAAACAAGGCTCCGCGTTTATACACTACACTCCCTCGGTGACAGCAATTATCTCATGGATTGCCGAAGTGTGTCAATTGCAAAGGTACTGCAAATATTGGGGCGGTATGAAATCCCGTCAGACCCCTGGTAAGCTCAACACCCAGTCATGCTGCAACCAAGTGCCGTTGATTTTCATCTATTCGAAGACGAGAATATGTTATTCCAAAGCCCAACATTTTAGGTGAAGACATACCAATGCCCTCACACGAAATGTGTCCGTGCACCAGGGGTGGTTCCCTTTCAGATTTGCCCGCTGTCGAATCATGAATCGGGGAAATACAGGAAGAACGATTTTGTATTTTCTCATTTCGCCTTCTTCAATCAAGAAAAATGCTCCTTTCCTTTCTGTACTAGGGAAACCAAAATTACAGCGACTACAACTTGAAAGTACCTAAATGACCGAATGAACACTCGCTCAGGTGAAGAGCAATCTACAACTGTTCGTGTAACGATCACCCAACCAGACGGGCGCAGCCCACACGGCGATTTTTGCCTTAAAGCCCTAGACTTCAATAGCTTTTAAGAAAGTCAATCACTAAGGAGGGGACGTGAAAGGAAAAAGGGATTGCCATGGAAGGACACCTACCGGCGTCATTCTGACCAAGATGTTCCATATGCAGAACAGCAGCTTGCATGTGGTGCATGGCGGTGTTTGATGAAACTGGTTCCAGTTCCCCTCCAGAATGGTTCGAATCTTTTCTTTCTGCAGCGATGCACTGTTCCAGTACCCGAACAGCTCGCAGCCATCGACCCCGACATACCAGAGAAAGAGCAAATTGTTGCCTAAAAAATTCAAATTAGTCCAAGAACTGAAAACACCAACTAGAAATACAAAACGCATTTATGAAAAACTAAAATTTATGTTTCTTAAAACTTAAGGGCACACTCCACGACTACATCAATGAATGAATCAAGCCCATCCAAGGGTAGGATCGAGCTGCTCACAAAAGCAGAGAGTAAGTCGTAACTTCCGTGGCTTGGACAAGTAAGAGAGTAGGGTCTTGTCACATAAGCCGAAACCAGCTGCAGCTGTTATCTAACAGCACAGCCAGCGGTCTCATTTTCAGCCCAAGGCAGTTTATACACCCAGCGACGTGGCCTTGGCGCCATGCCCTCTTGTCTACCTTTTATCTTTGGTGCACAGTGCCTTTTTGATTGAAAAGGAGGGCCTTCAATGGCCAAGTGTTTCCGTTTTCTTTACTGAAGGCCTCTTAGCACCTTAGTTATGAGATACTGACCGTGGAACGTACCTTCAAGTACCAAATGAATTAGAAAGACATCCAAAAATAAACTAAGGATTAGGTAACTTGAAGAACAATATGAAACATGCTTATACCAAAAGAGGAGAACTCACCATAAGAACTCGTCCTGGTTGACAAATTTCATAGCTCTCTCATAGATCGTAGACAATAAATGGTACTGACGAAGCGTTGACAACACCTGTAAAAATTAAGAGCATTTCATGCTTCTGCGATGATAAACTACATATAAAGCTTAGTCCGACATTTAGCCATTGCCATCTTTGGCCCTCCTAAGTCGCTTTCAGGACGCGTCAAAGTCGTGGCGGACCTAAGGGCAGGAGTCACCACTCGCGCAGAGACAGTGCCTGTACTATCGATAGCAACTTGAAGAATTCAGCCCTCTGTAGAGGTTACAAAGCGCCGCTCTTCTATATTTCACCATCATGAATGTGGGCTAGATGTGGGGTGCCTCACGTTCAGCGCCGCAATTTCGTTCCTATCACAGCTGGGACAGATTCTGCCACCTAAGCTGCTGAAAGGCACTCAGAACCACCAGCGATGATTATTCGGAGAACCATTCTGCGAATTTAACCCTTTGACGACCGCCGTTATGAATGCGTCACTTCACTTCTTTCTAAATTTTTTCATCAATAATCATTAACTCTCCAACAATTTCACTATTAGTAATTAGCGCATTATTCCGCGAATTCGATGATGTATTTGTGTAGTTTTGAAACATAAAAATGCCAAAATAAACCCCTAAAAACGTGTCGCCACCGAGCGAAAGTGTGGCCCACCGGCGGGCCACACGGTCGTCAAAGGGGTTAAATTTGGGACCTATGTGTCTTTCAAACAGGAGCGCTGATCAACCTGCACATAATTTATTTACAGGACCCATCGCAAAGATACGAGGCTTTGTCGTTAAAAACGGACGGGACCTCAAGCTAGAGCGGGAGCATATGTAGACCCAGGGTGCCAATGACATTTTTTTAAAAATTTTTTTCTCGGGTTCCTGTCCTTTCTGAGCTTGGTACTTGAGTCGTTATCCGTATCTTGCGATAGCGCCTATTTTCATATTTATTATTTACGCTATTCGACGCGAAGAAGGGATCGTATCCTCCCTTTCCCCAAGGGGACACACCCCCGCTCCCCCCCCCCCTCCTCCCTCCGCTGATTCTATTCTAACGTGGGGGAGATAGGGTTACGTCAGAGAACCAGCCATACTCTGCGTTTCTAGTGCGATCTCTCGAAAAAAGGGTGCCTCAACAGAGGAAGGAAGCTACAACATCACTCGTCCAATGGCGGTCCTACTACGCAACCCTGTCTCCCCTAACCTTAGGATAGAATCAGCGGCGGGGCTGGAGAAATGATAAGATACGGGCCATGAAAGAACATGAACTCATCCCTGCGACGCGCGCGATGTCGTATCGAGCTCTGCTTCCCCAAAAAGCTACGTTGTTCATAGCAGCGCCGAAAGGTGAGCGGCTTCCCTTTCATGTCAATACGTCGCGTCCACCATTGAAACGATGGCAAATATTATAGCAGTCAAGCCCTTGGGCTTGTGTGCACAGCGTGTTTACTATTAAGAATTCAAAATCAATACTATATGACTATTCGATTGTAAACATGCCAACTTACTACATAATAATTGTGAAAATTCGGAAATTAAATAAATAAATAAATAAATAATAAACATTTTACTAGGTAACGCTTAACCTTTGAAACTTTTACGCGTGTTCGTCGCGGCTGGGGTATTTATTCATCACTCACTCCGTCTGACGCTGGTAAGGAACCATTCGGCAATATTCACAGTTCAAGGTTTACGCCTCGGCGGGGATCGAACCAGTAGTCTTGCAGACAACAGACATGACTCTACACCTCTAACCCTCGACCATCCTACCTATTTTTGAGGAAAATTAACACAAAATTGGGAAAGGAAGCAATTCTTACCAACGTGAGCAGATTATACACCGATTTCGCACTTCGAATCGACTGATGCCGTGACGATGACACGTCGGCACTTCGACTTAACACAACTTCTCTCGTAGAAAGCACCTGAATTTAAACTCGATTCTTTTTGGAATAAGAAAAAAACATTAAAAAACGTAAAGTAGAAGACAGCGCGGAAGGTGTGCGTATGGAAAAATAAGGAAATAAATAGCCCAGCGCTATTCGCAGACTCTCACACATAATCTCACATACGTATGTCATTGAATAGACATGTGCATATATTTCGGAAACAAGGCGCGGGCGGAATTTTGATGGCTATACACCGTCCAACGTTATTCATCATACGATGGCTATAATTGAGGGACTTAATACAATCAAACGGTAAAGAATGAAGCGCTCGGACCTCATGAATCCCTTTCTGAAAGCCGATTATACTTGCTTCAGAGTCTTAGAGCAACCGAATACGTATTTAGCTGCTTTGACTTTCGAGGCCATGACTGCCAAATCATCGATCTTTGCCTCCCAGATAGATTCAGTGCCAAGCAACCGACTGGGAGAAATGAGATCCTGGAGCGCGCACGTAAGCCGCTGGCGGTTTTATTACAAATTCCATAAAAACTCGGCTTTCCAGAACTTCGAAATCGGGTAGAACGTGAGTAGAAGTGACGAGAAGGCTCTCAAGCTGTTGATGGTGGAGAATACACTGAGGTAGGCGGAGTTTGCCACGGAACATTAGAACTCGGTCCCAAAAAGTACCGGAAACCGGAAAAAGTGCATTCCCGTGTTTTGCTCGCGAACGTAGCCAAACTGGAAACCAATACCCGACAATGTTTACTTATACCATCAATGGGGTCGGAGGAATTTTGGGGCAAAGGTGGAGAATAACCCCGGAGCGGCAAGTGGTAACGTTGGGTGGCATCAGTTCCAGTATCCTATCAACATACCTCACCAACCCTGGATCAAGAACTCTTCGAAGCAAGGATAGATCACATGCAGTGGCTTGAGGAGAGAGAGGGGGATGGGAAGATATTGCATTTCTGAGTTTTTTTCACACTTTGGAAACTATAGTGGTTCTGGTTTCTCTTCTATGTCAGGGGCCGTAAGGTGTGCTTCCCCGAAGGGTTAGGGGACGAGTTTGTAGGCCAACGGGATTCTGATGAGGACCTAACTTTATATGTTGATTGTAGTTAAAGTAGCACGCATTGAAAATAAGAAACAGTTATCGTTCAAAAAAAAACATTCAAAGGGCTTCGTACCCAGGCAAACCATTGGGAAGTGCTTACGGCACCCCAGTTAAAACAGATTTTTCCAGGAACTGGGAGGGGGGAGAGGGAGAGAGGAGGCGAAAGTTTATGAAGGTGAGGTCAGAGTGTGAAAAGTTCTAGCTGAAGTGTGAAACCTTCATGTAAACGAATTCATCAAAAAAGACTTTGCCTTTTTAACTTTTTTTGCCCAATGAACAATTTGTGAATTCTAATTCGCATAAGCTGAGATTTAGAATACGGACACAGGGAAAGGAAAAAATATAGGAGTGACATGTCCTCCGAGTGGTTGTGAACACACCTCTTCAGAAAAATGGGTTGGGGTCTTATGATGTGTCGCCAACAAAATCTCCTCAACGCCTTTGACGACGAGCCAAGTACTCAATAGACGTACAGGACGAACGGTTGAGGTGACTAGGAAATAAAAAATATGGATGCAAACAGCATTTCACGTGGAGCTCGTATACTTGATTGGAATTCGTGATTCTCATATTGCCAAAAACACGCGATTTCGTTCCGCGGAAAAATAAACTTAGCAATCGATACCACAACAGTGGCAGGTTCTGGACTGTGAAAGGACTTCTATTTTGACTAACAAATTTTAGATAAGAAAGATGGCGAGAGAAGATGTTGTTTTCACATCACAAATTGAATGGAACCAATCGGGAACAATTTCCATTTAAAGTAAGGTAAAATACTTCCTCGATTCTGCTCTAGAAGGTTGTGAAATGATCCTATCCTACTAGGATCATTACGTAGAGGATAGTGATGTCATGAAAAACGATTTTGGTTGTAATAAAAGCTAAAGCGCAGGCTGTTCTCAAACTTTTGAACACGCACGATCCTATTCTATTTTGAATGCAGGAGTGTTTTGCTATGGGTATTTGGCAATTCACGACTTTTAAGACCATTGTTACACAAGTTAGTGTTGTTGTCCCTAGATCGAATGCCACAAGGGGGGGGGGGGCGGAGGTGCAATGGACACGACCACATCCACTACTTGCTTGATCGGTGGACCAAGTCGAAGGAATGCCCCAGAACGAATACATTTTGGAAGAGGGGGGATATTAGATGTATTGAGCCTGCGGCAATTTCCGGGAACTGATCCTAGACTAACAATATGAATTTGCAGTAAAAAATATATTAGCCAATTTGACTATATGTACCTTCAAGAGATGACTAGACATGGAAATTTTCAGAGAATCTTGAATCAGGCAACTGAAAAATGTTCAGCAACGAGTTCGTTTTATAGCCATGCGCCAGAATGCATATGTCGGGTGTCAAAGATCAGGTAGCATGGGTGTCATACGATACAGCCATGACCGTTGGTCTAGGATTGCTACTGCAAGGTCCTTGGGGCAAAACGAAACAAACTTGTAACCGCTGCCGGCACATTTGGTTGCATTTGGGTTCATTGTGCCGAAAATAGAAACTTAACCAGGAAGGTCTTTCAGGGCGTGACAAGCTTTTTGAAAACGGTCTTTTGCATGATATAGGGGCAGATGCGGGAACCACAGAACCATGTTTAATTTTTCCTGAACGGCCCTCTGAATACCAGAAAAGGAGGTCCCTAGTTCGATTCCTCGTGGTAACAAATTTTTGCATTTCGAGTTGACGTGCCAAAATTCGCGCAAAATGGAGTTAGAACCAACCAGAACAATCAGAACTCCATTTTGCGCGAATTTTGGAACGTCAACTCGAAATGCAAAAATTTGTCACCAAGAGGAATCGAACTAGGACCCCCTTTTCTGGTATTCAGAGGGCCGTTCAGGAAAAATTAAACATGGTTCTGTGGTTCCCGCATCTGCCCCTATATCATGCAAAAGACCGTTTTCAAAAAGCTTCGTCACGCCCTGAAAGACCTTCCTGGTAAGTACCTTACCTATCAGGCGAAGACGGCCAAGCACTTATAGTCAGTAAAGCTAGTACAAGCTGTAAAAACCCGCGGTGGGTAAACTGTAGTCTTCAGATGGTGAAAAAAATAAGGTCGGGGAAAAGATTCTAGGAAAAATGCAGAATATGAGGACCTAAGAAAACACATGAAGAAAAGCTGCAATATAATGAGCAGAAGTGTAAAGTCAGCAATGCATGCAGGTAATGCAACATCGCAAAAGGTGCTCGAAGAAGAAAGCAAAACTTTCTCGAACTTTTTAAAAAATTCGAAGTAAAAGTTTGCACATATTTTCAAAGGACTCATACACACAGGACAGTTTCTCATACTTATGGTTAGTTCTCTGCGTTCTCTATGCGAATCGGAGGAATCCTTCAACAACAAGATGCCTCGCTATTACTAGAAGTCTTGAGATGAAGGAATGGCTTCGTCGCTTGAATCCTTTCTTGAATGTTGTATTCAACTATAGCCCGTAGAACTCAATGGAAAACCAATTTCTCTCATCCACTCAAAATTCAAGAAAGCGCAATCACAGTAGCAAAAGGGGAACCCGACGATTGTGGCGTTCTGGCGGTGAAAGACACACAGCAAACGTCGTAATTGGACTCCTGGTCGTGAAACTAATATCATCCTCTTCCAAATGGACGGGTCAGCCGCAGCGGTGTGACGTTCAGTTCACGTCTGCATCAAACTTCTCGGCAGATTTCTTGCTCACCGATCCCCCCTCTCCAACTCGTAAACGTGTGCATGTCAGAAACCAACGGCGAGAGCGATTACTCCCTTCCCGCGTGCACACTGTTTCAAAAAATCAGAAGCGCGTCGAGTGCAGACCACACACCACAAGTGACGACGGCCTTCACAAAATGTAAATGTTTTCTGCCAATGAAATGATTAGCGTTGTATTCTATCAGTTGTCACTAATTACAACTATCATTTACCAAAATCAGCTATCACTATGAACCACTACTAACCAGATTTACTTGGAGGCCGTCGTCACTTGTGGTGTGTGGTCTGCACTTCACGCGCTTCTGGTCTTTTGAAAAGAGGGTACTTGTTATTTTCTCTAGTTTTTTTTGAATGCCCGGTCAGCAACTCTACTTCCTTTTTCACAAACAAAATTATCGTATGTAAGTTCAAAATTTGAGTCAAATTACATACCTCACTGATAAGAAGAAGCAGCACAACCTCTTCAGTTCTCGATGACGGTGCAAAATAGCCTTTGTGAGATCCCATATAGAAACTGAAACATTACTCTATGGAAACGATCACTATGAGGTCTCCAAAAGAGCACTAATGTTGCCCCAGCTAAGTAGCTGGACTAAATTCGCAGTAAACCTCAAAGTACAGGGTGCGCCAAAATTACGGAGACAACGCATGAGCAAACAATTTGAACTGATATTCACAGATGCTGTTTTCTTCTGTCCTAGTTTTGGTACTGTGGTGTAGAATTGTTTATGCTTACCTTGTTCAACCACCAAAATCTATGGTAGCTGCAGCGGTTGACTGATACTGACACCGTCCCTAAATCATTGGACTTCGACGTTGAGGGTTTTTGGCACGCGACAATTATCATCGTTTTGGTGTATACCCGAGCACTATCAATAGATGCTCCAAGTGGTACAGGGGACAAGGAGCTGAATGCAGTCATTCTGGATGAGAAGGGCGTGTTTCTGTGGCGACCACGAACAATCTAAGGATTGTGTGCGATAGAATTTGCAGGTAGTTGACGCGCTGGTTTCACTGGATGTCACGAGAGATAGGAATCAGGGGGGCTCTTTTGGACTTATCAGAGCCCATTGCTATCCTGAGTTTATTTTCACTTTGAAAATCGTTGCTGGGCCTTCCATCAAGTAGGAGCTCCCGTTTACGAGGCAAGGGTGGTTCAGTACTAGTGCAGCATTGATGCAGAACCGATTTTTTCGACTTTGTCGGCTTAAACGGTGGTAGAACAGCATTTCAGATCTGAGCTCGATAGGGTACGCTGTCGGATCCGTTCTAGAAGCTGAGGCTTGCATAAAACACATTATGTCTAGGGATTCGTTGAAGAAACCGCTCTAAAATGAGCTTGACGAGTCCTACTCGCCACATTGCGTGCCACAGTCGATGGTTCCTCGATGTTTCTGAGGACCCGTATAAACACAAACCAAGGAATTTCAAAAATTGCATGGATGTCGACGATTCAGAATGGGACTGTGCACGTCACTGCATTTTTGTTTTCAAAGAATTGCACCTTGCTCATCCTAGGCAACTCGAAGTCGCTGTCTCCGTAATTTTGGCGCACCCTGTATTCGAACAAGGCAACTCTCGTCTACATCTGTGAACACCACTGGAGTGAAAAGTGTACCTACGGCTTTTACAATCACATCGCTTGCCAGGTTTAGTTGCTCACAGTTTGATCTCGCATTTGGTCAATAGATTCGGATTCTGGAGTATCTAATCAGAAGGGCGGAAGTGGTGCAGTGACAAGTGGCGCGCTTACCACGCGAGCGGTCCGGGATCAAATCCTGGGTCGTGAGTCGCCCGGGCCAACCAAGCCTTCCATCCCTCCGGGGTCGGTTAATTGGTACCAGACTTGTCTGGGAGGATAAAAACACTGACTTGTACATCGGCTGGCCCCCGCAAGTCATTGTATAGGCCACATCGCATTCAAACGCCACTGCGAATGTACAAATGGAAGTAGAATGCGTGCCGCATCCCAAAAAGGGATTGATCAACGGCAAATGCTTTATCCTTTATCCTTTAATCAGCTTGGGTCCGACAGGCCAGTCACGCTCATTTTACCATGAAAGTCGTTCGGAAAAATCCTGAATATATCTTCGAGAACCTACGAAAAAACGCATTAAGGGTTTGCAGACTGGAAGTTGAAGCGTTGAATACGTTAAGAATTGGCCAGTGCCACCTAGCCAGACCCTAATATTTAATCCAGGCATGCTAGCATAGTACTAGGTATTGACTAAATCCATTCCAAACTCACATGAAATTTTTTGATTTTTGAAGCCTCGGAGACATGAAACAACGTGCCAAAGGTCACGAGCGCGAGCCGCTGGTTTTATCAGCCAGCCAGCTTTGGTAATGTTGAGCAATCTAGAGAGACTGAACTCATGGTTCACTACAGCGGGAAACAACGGTATAGGACAGAAGCGGACGTCAAATCTCTAAGTAAAAAAGGGCGTGCTTGCTCGACACACGAAAATTCTTTGATGACCAGAGTTACACCAATTTATATCAAAGTCGTTGTCACAAAAGGTGTTCGATGAGACGGCACATTACCTTCCCCCCCCCCCCGTCACGAACTTCACTAAAAATTCCGCACAGAATGAAAAAAATAAGGAGGAGGGTCAACGGGCGGCAACTATCATTGCTAATTCGCTGACCGTTTCCAACACAGCGGAAGGGAAGACCAGTACTCAACTGAACCTAAAGGGTCGGTGCTCGTGAAGATTCTCACTCAATGCTTCATTCACGCTCAACGGCACATCAGCGAATTGCACTTCCATTGCATAGATGGAAAAGTCACTATGAAAAAAGAAAAACTGACTCGAGAGCGGAAAAAGAAGAAGCGGCTTCAGAGCCTTCAGAATATCAAAGAATTAGCGCAGAAGGCGAAGAATATTTCGCTTAATGCCCTCATCTTCGATTTCTTTGTCGTCTCTGCTGCTCCGGCATCTGAGTAAACCCAGCCGTGTTGTGGGTGTTCCACTCCATCGACCTCATTTTAACGAAAATTCGGGGCGCTGACGCAATCGCTGTGGTGTTGAAAATCGGTCAGATGGATCAGCCGTCATGTGAATTGCTAGTGATCGTTGGACTGTGACGGTTGCCGACTGAAATTCTTTGAGGTGTCATAGAAACACCCAGACAACCGTCGACCCAATAGTCAACCGTGGAATATCGGAAGCTAGGGGATTTGGAGGTACATGCTCTTAAAATGAAAAGCACCCGTTACCTAGCACTAGCCTGGAGAAGTAGAATATCCTGACGAAAGTACTGACGATAGGACAGATTTCGGCGACTGACGGCAATATTAAAAGAATTAGTGCACGGCCAAACGGATACAGAGCCCATTTCTTGACACAACATTGAACAAAGGGCGCGCCGCGCATCCAACTTCTGATCGAAATTGCTGTGCCATTCAAATGCAATTCACTAAATATAATGCGGGACCAATCGGTGTATAAGTCGGTGTTTCTGTTTTCATACACGGGACTTGTACCAAATGACCAACTTTGGAGTAATGGAATCATTGGTTGGCCTGGGTAGAATTTGCTCCGTGATTTTGCTACCAGAGCGCATGCATGACAAATGGTGACAGATACTACTACGCGACCTTTAAACAAACAGAAGCAGTGATAGGGTTAGTTAGCGCTTCATTTACTGGATAGTCCAGTCGAAATTTGAGGTAAACAAAGTAT